TGGTATAAATTATGCTATTTTAAATTAAAAATAGTGATAAACTTAAAGCAGAAGATACGTACAATGAGACAAATCAATATAAAAACATCGCGTAAGCAAGAAAATCATCCATTGAAAAACATACTAATACTTTTATACATACTAAAACCAGTAGTCATTTTCAAGTGTACTGTTGATAATAACAATTATTTTAATAAAAGTTTTGAGCCAAATTGCAGTTACATATTATACAACGGAACTTAAAAACGAGTCTCACTGGTAATATTAAAGATAAATATTAATTCTAATAGGACAATTCGAGTATTGCGTCTAGTAAAATAAAAACCCCGCTTGGAGTACCAATTATTGTAGACTTAAAAAATAATACTTTAAAAATCGTACTTCTTTATGACTAAAATATATTCTTAAATATTAGGTTGGGACTAAAATCCAGAAACAAATAATTTCTTTAAATTCTTTATGCCTCTACAAACAATAATAAGTCATGTTGTAAAACTACATCACTCTAATATGGACACTCGAATTGAGGACAGCTTATGGTATGATCAAAATTTTTTTTAATAAACGATCTTTGAACTTGGATGATGACAGATACTGTTAATGATATATTTTGGACAATGACTTTAAAGGGAATAATATGAAATAAATCCTATAGGATGCACCACTATTTTTTTTTCTATCAACATCCAGTGTTATTAAATTTCTTAGTCATTAGATAATGACAGAAGACTTAATATGAGTGCCTTCTATCTGTGAGTGTCTTCTTGTTTTCTGTATACTCCTATCTATATTATGATGTTTTTGGGTATTGACAAAGGTTTAAAAATATTAATCAATCCAAAGATGCAACAAGTCAGTTTTAAAAAGACTGAAGTCTGTAAGATACCTATATATTGGAACTCTGAAGTCTAACTCTGTAAGACTGGAAGTTCAAATGATGATGAAGTCTTAAGTCTTTGACTTAAATCATTTTATTTCAAGTCAAGTCGTTTTTGTAAAGACTTAAGTCAATTTAACGTTATTTAAGTAGTTTTTATGACTTGAGTCTATATTTTTGACTTAAATCATGATTATCTGCAAGTAAGTCAGAGAAAAATGGCTTAAATCATAATAATTACCCCCCAAGTCGAGACAACCAGAATTCAATTTAAGGACCTATGTTTTAAAATCTTAATATTAATTTTGTTTTATTACCGATTTTCTTATTAACAATATTATTAATTTATTGTGGGTACATATAAAAATAAAACCGCTTAAACTATAAAAATTGGTTTTCAGAATAATGAAAAAGAATAAACAATAAAAAAATATGCGCATCAAGAACATAAAAACACAACTTAAAATAAAATTTTGTGGTACTTTGTACAGTATGTCCCATTTTTGTGCATTTTATAGCGTTTCTCGTTTATGAGCAGATATACAAAGATGCGGTTTTCACATTACTTTGCTACATTTTTGTGAAATTAAAAATGGTAAACACAGATTTGTCCTAGCTGTCTTAGTTCATAAAATATAGGGCGAATTTGGAATTGTTGCATTTTTCGAGAACCTCATATCTCGGATACCTTATAACTTATTGAAAAGGTATGAAAATCGGATTCCATAGAGTTTTCCACGTTAAATTCAGTGACATAACTAGATTTTTGCTAGGAGCTGTCATTCTTTAAATTTGACCCGTACTAATTTTCGTACACAACGTTTCATAAAAGATAAAAAATGCATTTAAAGTTAGACATGACATTTTACTGTGACGGTAGCGAGTGTCTCTGTTTTTTTTATCAGACAGTTGAAAAAACAATGCCGCTGAAAAATTATATCTTCTAAAAGATTTAAGCCTTTTTTAATGATTTAAGTTCGTTTAAATTTCGGAATAAAGACTTAAATCACAAATCATTATGAAAACGACTTAAGTAAGTTAAGCTTTAAGTCTTAAGCCAGGGTTCAAAAAATGACTTAAAATCAAATGACTTAAGTCATTAAAATGATTTAAATAAAAAAAAAATCTGTGAGCTTGTAGCTCTGAATGGATCTTATACTAAGGGCTGGCAAAGGTTAGTCTTGGGTCGAGATTTCCGTATGTAAGAAGAGTACAATGCGTTTATAATGTACTGAACAAAGAGAGGACAGTAAACACGTTGCCAAACGTATGAAATAAACCGAGAAACTGTGCACGACGTGAAAGGGGATATAGCAGTTTTGTCGTTAGAGACCGGTCGACCCAATCAATACCTCTGTCAGTACTTAAAGTTCTAGGGAAAGGTGTACGTCATGCGTTCAGCTTCACGATTTAATTACGTCTCGTGATACTTAATTTGTTTATTTATTAACGAGTCGTTCTAATTTTCCCTATAGCTTGAATTTTTTTAAGTGCAAGCTAGAAACACCTGCATTTTTGGTAAAAATAAGTGGAATCGAGTGGGTGTTCGATAGTGGTCGCGCTATTAGAACTATGAATTCAAAAATCGATATCTTGAAATCTATTAGAAATAATAGATTGTAGTTTTTTCAAGAACTTTGTTAATATTTCTGCTGTATTTTCTTTGTAGACAGTATGTGAAAATCTTTATCAATAAAAAAATTACACGATTGCTGAAAATTGCTATGCTCTAAAAGTAAATGGATGGATTGTTTACAATTTTTGAATGGAAAAAACAACCTTATCGAATTTTTCTTATGTAAACATATTGTAAAATATCCGTTCTTGAAAATAAAAAAAAGTTTCAATATCTAAAGTTGGTTCTTGAGTTATGGCCTGTTATGTGTTAAAAAGTTGAGTTTTTGAATTATCGCGATTACTGACGTTTGCTCGTTATAAAAAAATGACACCCTAACGATATCCTTATAATTCCATTTCAGATGGTCAGAAACATGTCTAATGATTTTATCTAGTTATCTCTTGAAAAAAAAGTCTTCAAAATAAGCGGTTTGCGATCGTGATTTTACTTTACTTGATACACATGACTTCCACACATGTAAATGCCGACCCAAACGTAACAGTTGCCCGCACGGTATAAACTGGTAACTGCTTTTAAAATGCTCTATTTTATAGTTCAACACTGGGATAATAACAGACAATAATATTATGTGATTCAGGTTATACGAAACATTTTTTAGTATTTTTATACTAATATGTAGGTACCTAATTAAGAAGGTCAGTTTTTAATGTTTTGAAATTTAAAAAGGTCTGAAAATTCTAAGTTAACAAATATTATTGTCTTGCACATCTTGTTCCTAGAAAAGCTAATGTAGATGTGTTTTTCAGAAGGAAGATGACTTCTTCAAACTGTTTGTACATAAAGGAAGATGTATTATTTAGAAATATACTATACAGGGTAGCGCCTCTCATACGCCGCCGAAGCTCCAAGGAGAACGATAGTTTATATCGAAATGACATTTTGGCAGCATATATAGGTTAACTGAAAGCATTTTATAAAAATATATAGAAGTATACAGGGTGTCCCCAAAAAAAGTTACACATCAAAGTTGTGTTTTTTTCTAATGGAACACCCTATACATTAATTGATTTTCGGATTCTACGAAAAAGATAAAGGTGAGTTTTATTAAAGAAGCATATACCTAAAATCTAAAGATTTTGACATATTTCACATTTTGTGAAATTGAAAAGTAAATTTTAAATTTAGATAACAGCGACCTAAATTTTAGTTGACCTTGTATATAGAATTGTATATATAGAAAAGTTATACAGGATGAGACAAAATTAATATGTAACATTAGTCACTTTTAAAAGCAAAAGTTACTCCTTTATTTTAAATGGAACACCCAGTATATTTTTTCGGTGTTCAGTGGGAAATTTATATATCTTCAAAATATTAGTAAGGTTGCCTAGCGCTCAGACAAGGATTTTCCCAGATATTTTAATTTTTATGATTTTGCGTCAGTAAATCTTTATTATTTGAAAAAATCTAAGTGGCTGTGTGATATATCTTTTGTTAATTTATCAAAAATTAAAGATTGTAGAGTAAAATCCTCAACGGTAATAAATAGATAGGCGTTTAAAACATATTTTAATTATTACAGAATTAAAACTAGATATAAACCTATAATTATGCGACAAAAATTGGCTAGATGAAATCAAATACCCAAAATGCTGTTAACTGCATAAAATTGTCTTTTCAAAAGGATCTTTTCATTTTAAAAGGCATATGTGGAGTTCTACCTCGAAAAGCAGCTACAATAATTTCCGTCATGTTTTGGTGGAACACTGATTTAACATATTCCCATAAAAAAAACAGACTAGATAAAATCAGGATCATTTAAGTATTCTATTAATAAACAAAAAAATAATATTAATAAACTAATAGAATCATATCATTCTTTCTGATGTAGGATAAGTTTGCATTTTCGGCAAATTTCTGAGATTTTTTTTGTTTTAACTGACACAAAATGATAACTAGTTGTTAAAGTTGGACTTATTAGACAGCTATGTTGTAGTAACGTCAGACATATCACAGCCACCTAGATTTTATCAAATAATAAAGATCTACTCAGATCAAATCATGTAAATGAAAATATCTAGGAAAATCTTTGTTGAGGAGTAGGAAACTTTAATAGTATTTTGAAGAGACATGAATTCTCCATTGGACATGAATTCTCCATTGGAAATGAATTCTCCAATATCGGAGTAATATACTGGGTGTTCCATTTAAATGTTCAATATTAATTTTGTCTCACCCTGTATAACTTTTTGGATCATGTTTTAATTTGATTTAAAGTATAATAGTTAATTTACTTACTACATATTAGGCTATACCGGGTAAATTCCAATTTAGGTAGCTTTTATTGTAATTTAAAAATTGTTCTTTATTTCTAGAAAATGTTAAATATGTCAAAAACCTTACATTTTAGTCATATACTTCCCTTATAAATTAGTTACAATTAATATATAAAGTGTTCCATTACAAAAAACACAACTTTGATATGTAACTTTTTTTTGGAGACACCCTGTAGAACTCTCTATATTTTTAAAAAGTGCTCTGAATCAACCTACATATGCTCACAAAATTTCATATCAATACAAACTGTCGTTCTCCTTGGAGCCTCCGCGGCGTATGAGAGACGCCACCCTGTACACCCCTTAAAATACTAAAAGTATTCTGAGTAATGTAGTGACAAATAAATTAAATGTAACTTATTGTCCATTAGAAGAAATCAGTCCAAAATATGTTGAATACATTTTCGGTTTCTATAATCCTTACAAGTCTTAAACTAAGCATTCTACGACTGTCAAACAACTTGTATCGTATTACTGTGATTCTTTAGACTCCCATTCATCAAGGGAACTGTTTCCTCCGGCTCCGGTATCGTTATATTAATCTCTGGTATTTTCATCTCCAAACAACTACTAGCACAACTCTCCGCTTCGTCCTCGTGGATGTTCGGCATCGTTTTCATGTCCATGTGACTGTCGATCCTGCTCAAGTGAACGTCGCTCTTCGTCGGGACCTCCATGTTGATGACCGTGTCCTTCTTGAAGCCATTCTTCCCGTGGAACTTCATGTTTGGATGGCTTTCTATTCTGACGAACGAGGAGCCTTCCTGTTTGGAGAGAAGCGACTTGAAATCACCGTGGCTCTCGACCCTCTGGGGGACCTTCATTTCGATGTGACCGTCGTCCATGAGCATCGAGTCTAAGCTGGATAGACTGTCAGTTGAATGGGTACGGTAGGATGGGAATAGACTTGATCGCACGTGATCTGAAACCAACAAAAATGCATATTGTGAATCTGCATTTAAATTCAATGACGTATATCTATTACAAAGCAAAATGGCGTGTGCATATTTTACAAATATGTTGGATAAAGAAGAAAGATATATTGTTAACATCTTTTTACTATCAAAAACAGTTTTAATCCATCCTTTACTGCGAAATTTAAACTTTTTTATAGTGTTTTAAAAATAAAAAAAATTGTGTATTCGAGGGTTGTCTTTTATATTTTGCACATAAAAACATAGTAGGTGCCTGTCAACATGTTTCAAATGTCAAAATTAACTGTCATCTTTAGTTAACTTAACGGTAGATCTTTGAAGTTGAATCTTTGAATTTTTGAAGTTGACGAGACAATCGAAAAATGGAATTAAGCCGAGAACATTTTCGAGCAATATTTTTTTACAATTTTCAAAGAAAGTTGTACCAACAAGAATACCTTGCCAAGTTGGTTTCTGCTTTCGCCAATGAAGAATGAAGCACCACATTTGTCTACAATAATTTCTCGTTGGTAGCGTTGATTGAAAAAACGTATGTGTCTCTTTTTTCAATAATTTTAGTAAATATATTTTCAGACCATAGTGACAGATCCACCACAAAGAAATATTTATTACTATGCACATTAATTCTACTGAGAATATACAATAAGATTTTACACTCTGTTGTGCTTTACTAAGTAAATTATATACGTGCTCCTCTAAATAAAACATGCAACCTGTTAACTATAATTAAGAGAAATCTTGAAGTAAAAATACCTTTTGTCTAGTTTTATGATGTCCTACAATTTCTTTTAATTATTTTCCATTAACTGTGTTTTCCTAAATTGGTCATCACATTTTTAAAGGTATCTACTTTCAATATTTATGATATGTATTTAAATGCATAATTAATATGATATAAAAAAAAATATTATAGCTTTTATAAAAGGTTAATCCGTTAAAAATAATCCTGAATTGAGTAAGGTATCAATGCTCACAAATATAATTCAGGAGTAAAATCAATAGTTATCAAATGTATCTTTGGCCATGTTTACAAAATTGTAGTGTATTATTATCGCATATTTACAAGTTTAACATACAAAAATGAACAATATAGCAAGAAAATCACAATGAAAATGAGTTACAAAATGGAGAAGCATAATATTAAAAAATCAGAAATGTCCTTAGTAACACCATCAATATATTTTTGGAAATAGAATAACTTCTAATCTTGCAAACAAATATTCACGCTTATTCACGAATTGAATGTTTTATGTTGCTACCATTTATTTATGAATTATTTATGTCACTTACACAACATTTCCGTCAAATGTATGGTTGATTATCAAGTGTAAAATAAGCTAAACAATAAAATTACTGGATGTGCTAGAGCACAACAGTCACCAGTAAAAAAATTGGATGCCAGTCAAGCGTGATGTTGTCCACTGAGAATGCAGTCCAATCGTTGACTTCAGCCAACTTTTTCTAGGGTGAATGCCTTAAAAATTATTGCCTACCACATTCTAAAAAACTATCGAAAGTATATCTGTACTTCAACAAAACTGTCAAAAACACACTAGACAAATGCTACAGGAAAGTAAAAGTATACGAAATTATTAAGAATCAAGAATTTTGGATTATAGCAACTTCAAATATTTAATATTGTTTAATACACTTTTGCAAGGTAAAACAATGAGTATGTATACAGGGTGTCCCAGGCTGAACGTGCATTAGAAGTTTCTAGAGAACTACGATATCTAGATCGGAGATTTTTTGCACATCCTTGTTTTACAACGAGATCTATCGATTAAAAATATTTTCAATATGGCTGCACTTCCGGAAATGCCGGAAGTTGACAGAAACTTTCTTATTTTAAATAGGTGCCCCCATTTTTAATTATATACTTAAATTCTCTGTAAAATTTTATGAATTTTATATCAAACACTCTATATCTAACATTAACCGTTTTTGAGAAAAAAAATATTTAAAATTTTTGGACGAAAAAAACTGCCTGTCAAAAATATGTGTATAGTCTAAACGTCAAATTTAGGGATTACCGCAGCCACTGTGCCATAAAGAGAAGACATGTGATTATCTATTTCAAAAATTAAATTGTTTGAATGTCATATAATAATGGCAGTAGCTGTCATGGAATTAAGCGATTAAAAAATTATCATAAATCATTTTTTTCAAATGGAAACCCCCTTTTTTATTTATCTGATGAAAAGGCTGTTCAATTCGTTACTTTTTGACTATACATGTTCCTATTTCTAAAATAAATCGTTTTTAAGTTATATAAGATTTAGTTTTAAAGCGTATATTTTCTTCATTTTAACATCTATGACTTTAAACGTCAAGTGATGCGAAACAATAGATCTGGCCATGTCATATTGTGACACTTTGTTCAAATAGCAGTATGTTATCGATCACCATTTCCAAGCTAACTTTGCGCTGTTTTTTTTTTGATCTTAAGGTAGGTATATTAGTAATAATTAATAATATCAACTATTAGATATCACTAAAGAGTGAAAATACGAGATATATTTTAAAACTTTTTTTAAACTCTTAAGGCAGTGTTTTACGAAAGCGTAGAGCTGCCATCGCAACATTGAAAAATATTTTTAGCAAAATTTACCCTTTTTCTGTAAATTTACAAAATTTCTGTAAATTTACAGATTTTCTGTAAATTTACACTTTTTCTGTAAATTTACACTTTTTCAGTCAATTTCTGCGTTAGTGGAAACAGTGGTGCATTATTCTACGAGTAGTTCCCATCGAACTCTCCAGTTTCTAGTTTATTCACAAAAGTCTTTAATAGTAAAGACAGAATTAGGGAACCACTGCGGCAATTAATTGAAGTATTGGAGACATGCGATCTATATGACAAGATTAAGCAATATCCCAGTATAAATATTCAAAGGTATATTTTGTTCTGAAATCACACTCCCTTTAAAAATACTTGAAGAATTATTCCTCATCGTCTATACTGAACCTGGGACTAAAAAAAATTCCGGTGATCTCTTATTTTAGAGATTATGTATTTGATTTGGAATGTATGTGATATAACACATATAATATGCTTTTAGGCGACCCGGAAAGTATTGTCACCCTTTTCGATGTATTAGTGTTTGCAACAGGATCTGATTGTCCGCCACCTCAGGGATTTCCCTTAATGCCACAGATCATGTTTTTGCATGAAGATCAATCACAATTTCCTATGGCAAATGCTCCCTGCAATTAAAACTGCCAGTCATTCATAAGAGTTATAAATATTTTAACAGATATGTATTTTGCTGTAGGTAATGCTAAAACATTTGGATTCGCCTAATGTTTTAGCGCTACCCATTTTTTGGTTTATTTTTATTCATAGGATAATAATTGATTTTAGTTACGTTTTTATATTAAGAGTACTCTGTTTTGTTATACAGTTACAATTTGGTTATCTATATTACATTCTAACATTGACGTAGATTTATAATGTTAAATAAAAATATTTTTATGCATACTTATACCGCTATTATTTAAGAGTACTTAAAGAATTTCGATCAACTTCGAAATAAATTAGTTCGTCCCAAATGCCTTCGCAAATGACGTAAACTTAGGACATAACAAAGGACATAACCATCCTCTAATGTCAAAATTTCTTTGTGACTTAATCTGATTTGAAAGTAAAGTAGTTTTTAATGTTTTCGTCCATAATCTCTGATGAATATCTGTACTTCGTCGGCACAATGGCAACTTAACCAGCAGAGAACAAGGCTCACTTGTAACTACCGAGTAACGAACAGGTCAATGCCGAGAGGTAACGCGTCGTCCTGCTGGGTAGTGAAGAAGAAGAAAAAGTGTAAATTTACAGAAAATCTGTAAATTTACAGAAAAAGTGTAAATTTACAGAAAAAGTGTAAATTTACAGAAAATCTGTAAATTTACAGAAAATGTGTAAATTTACAGAAAAAGTGTAAATTTTGCTAAAATTATTTTTCAGTGTTGCGATGGCAGCTCTACGCTTTAGGTAGTATTTACAGGAAATTCAAATAATTCGTTTTCTGACAGATGGAAATAAATTGTCTGTTTGACACTTAATGCCAAAGGAAGCTAGATAAAATCAAGAAAAATATACGTTTTCAAACTAAATCTTAAATACCGTAAAAACTATTTATTTTAGGTATAGGAACATGTATAGTTAAAAAGTAGCGAATTGAAAAACCTTTTCACTAGTGAAATATAAAAAGTGTGTTTTACCATTTAAAAAAAATGATTTATGATAATTTTTTAATCGCTCAATTTTATGACATCTACAGACAATATTATATAACATTCGAACAATTTAATTTTTGAAATAGATAGTCACATATCTTCTCTTTATGCCACAGTGGCTGTGGTAATCACTAAATTTTTCGTTTAGGCTATACAGATTTTCTTGTTAGGCTGTGTTTTTTCAAAAATTTTAAATATTTTTTTTTTTCAAAAACGGTTAATGTTAGGTACAGAGTATTTGATATCAAAATTAATAAAATTTTGAAGAGAATTTAAGTAAGTAATAAAAAATGGGGGTACCTATTTAAAATAAGAAAGGTGCTGTCAACTTTCGTTATTTCCGGAAGTGCCGCCATATTGAAAATATTTTTAATTGATAGATCTTGATGTGAAACAGTGATGTGCAAAAAATCTCTGATCTAGATATAGTAGTTCTCTAGAAACTTCTAATGCACGCTCAGCCTGGGACACCCTGTATATGCAATACAAACATAAAAAGCAAAAAAAATATCAAAAGCATTAAATATTTTTCATAAATTTTGCGATTACATAAAAAAAATTACGTTTTTACTTTTTGTAAATTTAGAAAAATGAAAATATCTGATCTACTCAGTTTAAAATGGTCGAATAAAGAGGGAAACACATAAAGCTCAAAACTACAACTAAATTAATTTCGCATGAAGGGTGAAAATAAATAAATAAGCTTATAAAACCAAATATAGGTAAGAAAATCTAAAAGGGCAGCCAGACAAATTCTTACCAACATATTTTGGTGGCATTAATTTGGAAGTATCTACCATAACTAGAACGGAAAAATAATTTGGAGCATTAAATTTATATTTACGACTCCTTTTAATATAAATTAGAAAACATCTAATGGTTTATAATTAGAAATAGTTCTGCAGATTTCAAAATCTATAGGTTTTATTAGTGTCCATAATATGATAACCTTGACACACTAACAAAAAGTTAAAATAATATATACAGAGTGTTTTTTGAAAATAAACATGTCTGTAGATTTTTTGAAGAAAACAAAAATAAAAATTATGTGTTTGTGTTTTTCATCTAGATTTTAGAGCCCTTATTAAAGCTGCTTGTACATCTATTTTTTTTTTTAAATTTCATTAACAAATAATTAATCTTTAGCAAGAATTGACAGATTATTTTTACAACAATTTTCTAGTATAACAGTGGCGTATAGACATTAAGAATTAGTATAATGCACCTTCGTGATATTTCTTGGATAGATGAGGTATTAATTTATACAGGGTGGGTCTTAAATAAGTGAAAATATGTCCAAAATTGATGTAATATAAAATAAATAATTTTTTTAAACACAAAAATTTAAAAAATCACAATAAAAACTGTATAAGTTTTCTATGTTACAACACTTGTTCTAAGGCGGTATGGATTTTTGTAAGAATAATTTATTGGAATGAGTTATTGAAAAAACTGTTTCAAAATTTAAAAATTAATAGCTAAATTTATTAATAAAATAATTTTTATTAATAAAATAATTAATATAATAGTTTTTAATTTAAAAGATATTTTACTACTGTGCTTTTTTTATGTCCATTGAATGATGCATATTTATGTTAGTAAATCTTAAATCGCAATAATGTAACTTACTTCTAGTCTGTTCAGTTAAAATGTCTTGCATTCATAATGGTAATACAGTAATATAGTAATCGCAAAATATTTTCCGATGCACGTCATCAATCATATCGACATTGAGACTAAAGTCTATAAACCTGACTAAATAAAATTTTGGTAAACATGTTTAAATTTCTTGTATAATTTAAGATACCGAATAGCTCTTTATTTTACTTCATAATGCAAATGATTGTAACAGATATTTTATTTAGATTAAAGCTGCAAAAATTAGTTTAAGCCGAATTTTATTATCGCTATGTTGGTCACATTGCGCCGTGTTCAGCAATGTTGTCCTTTATTATTTAACAATTATCCTAGTGCCAGTCATTAATTTGTTTAATATCGTGTTGTTGAATGTTTGTGAATATATCTCGTTTTTGCCATTTTTATAGTCCTTTTTAAAAATTGCACTTTTAAGCACAAACAGTTCATTTAAGAACTAAATTTTCGAGTTTTTGTATTGCATTTCTTGAAATTATGTGTTAAAAATATGCCGAAGAAAATGAGCTTGTAGCTTCCCTGTTTTCTTAAAACTATTTTGAACGAGAACGTGACAATAAAGGTCCAATTATTATCCTTGACTGCAGTCAGAAAAGTAAGTTTGATTGATTATACCACTTTCAAAATTAGTTTTTATTAAATTCTGTGTTTATTAGTTTGTGCATTAATAGCACCCTCTTACTTGTTTTTACCACTTATGGCGTTGTAAGATGTACACCAATAAATAAAAAACCCATAATAAAGCTAATAATAATCTTCATAATGAACTAGTTTTTGCCAATATGTAATAAGTAAAATAAGCTATAAAACAAATAAAGCAATTAATCACTAAAATGTTAGTTATTAAATTAAAAATAAAACGCAAAACTCTTTTAAAAATGATATAATAAATATGTTGTTTGTCAATTTTAAATTAAGATTCATCTCATAAATCCATTACAATCTGGCAGCGCTGTCGCCATCGCTTGTCACTCAAAGTTGATCACGTGCATCGGAAATTGTTTTGTGATTACCGTATGTAGGTATTATAATAAAATAGTAAGTTATGTGGTAATAAGAGCAGATAAATAAAAAGCAAAATTTTCTAAAAATTACTATAAGAAAAAGAAGTATTTTACCTGATCCATCGACACCTAGCATAGCTCTGTGATCGTCTAGCTGACGAGCACTACACAGTGGAGTGTCAACTTCGATAGTGTTGTTGAACACGGCATAATCTACCTCGTATTCACCAGAATCCTTCTTGAAAGTTACCAAAGATTTAAACCTGTGACCCCATAATATTTCTGACGGAAGATAACTGGATCTGGCTTGAGTTGTCATCCCAGTTGATTCTATGACACCTTCTAAAATAGAAAAGTTACATTTAAATCATAGTCTATAACATCATGTTTTTTAGTGGAAAAATTGGAATTAAAATTTGGCTTTTATCGATATTTAAAACGGCCCACACATTATACGATTTATCGTACTGCAGGTTGTACAACACAAATTTGATTCGACCGTTTGAACGACATATCGGACGCGCTGTTGTCCACAAACTTAAACTACAACGGGCCACACATTAATACGATTCGTCGTACTACATGTCGTACGACAAGTTGATACAACCGCTGGAACGACAGATCGGATCCGCGTTTATTCACTAACTAAAACTACCATTTGATGTTAATCACCAACAAGTAGTAGTTTTATTTTCCATTCATTTTGAATTCTATTGTAGCATCTGCTTTTATTTCTTTTAATTTTTCCAGTAGGATATCATAACTGGCATTTCTTTTTTGTTTATTTAGGTATTCCTTACTTTTCACATCCCACAAACAAGGTTGATTATGATAAATTTCTATAAATTCCGCCCAAAACTTCTCGTTTAAAACGGGCCACAGATTATACGATTTATCGTACTACAAGTTGTACAACATCAAATCGTTTCGCCCGTTGGATCAATGGTTGGATAGTTAGTGGCTTTGTAGTACTACTTGTAGTAAGACAAAGTCGTATCGTACGGAAGTATGGCATGCAGAAAATCTGTAGTACAACGCAGTATATACGATCGATTTGATGGTTTGTGTGCAAACCCTATGTGTCGCAGACAGATCGTTTACATTTTTCGTTGCACATGGTTAAACAATCTCTTAAAAGCGAGAAGTTTTGGGCAGAATTTATTGAAATTTATCATAATCAACCTTGTTTGTGGGATGTGAAAAGTAAGGAATACCTAAATAACAAAAAAGAAATGCCAGTTATGATATCCTACTGGAAAAATTAAAAGAAATAAAAGCAGATGCTACAATAGAATTCCTGAAAAAGAAAATTAATAACTTTCGGACTGCTTTTAGACGTGAATTAAAAAAAGTAAGTAAATATGAATGTGCTGGTTGTTTGTTTATAATTTGCACGTAGGGTTGTTATTCTAGGCACACAATAATAATTTACATAATATTTATTTAAATCGACTGGTTCATTAGCACTTATTTCACGTAAAAGGTTCATATGAGAGTACAGTTGTTGTTTTTGTAACCAATTTTTGCACCATCTTCTTCTTTTTTTTGGCTGTTCTTCGTCTTCGTCTAACAAAACTAACAAAATTGCAGCTAGAGTCCTTTTTGATAAATTCGATGTCATGTTGACGTTGAACACAATAGAATTCAAAATGAATGGAAAATAAAACTACTACTTGTTGGTGATTAACATCAAATGGTAGTTTTAGTTAGTGAATAAACGCGGATCCGATCTGTCGTTCCAGCGGTTGTATCAACTTGTCGTACGACATGTAGTACGATGAATCGTATTAATGTGTGGCCCGTTGTAGTTTAAGTTTGTGGACAACAGCGCGTCCGATATGTCGTTCAAACGGTCGAATCAAATTTGTGTTGTACAACCTGCAGTACGATAAATCGTATAATGTGTGGGCCGTTTAAGAGATGCAGGGCCAATAATATGAATGGTTAAATCACAAAATGTCAAATCGGGTTATTAACATGTACTTATTTGTTTTGTTTATTCATAAATAAGTATCTATCAATATTACGATGTTAAATAAATATCTAAATTATAGATATTACACACATTCTTACTTACCTAAAATTACCACTATCTCAAACCGTTCTCTCAGCAAATCTGTGGCTGACATATTGTAAAGTGGCGATTTGCTGTCAATCTTGTGAACAATCGTTGTTGGCCAGATGAAAAATATCTTATCTTCTTCTCCATCACCTCCCACCTGCAAAATCTGTATTTTGTAGACAAATATTATAAAAAAATATATAATTTTTGTTAAATTTATATTTTCATCATTTATATACTGTAGTTTTACCTTTAATTCAGTCTGGAAGAACGGCAAATGTTCTCCTTCTTTTGTAATTTTGTGCTTGATGATTTGAGCCCTTACGTGTGCTTCGATGATGTGACTTTTTCTCATATCACCCACTCTAAGGAATAAATTTTTGTTTCAATATTTTTTTGAAGCAAGCTCGAAAGGATTTTTTATATTAACATCATGATATAAAGTGTCATTAACGACTAATAATTATTATGATCAACAATTTATAATACAAGGCCGCTAATATGTATGGGAACGGTCGATTATTACGTAAAATATAAGAGGTATCGCAAAAAGTTAAATATAAAAGTTATAGGGTTCTTAAATATCTATTAGCGGGTAATAAATTTAAGTATACAGGGCCGGTCATAAAGTCGTGGCACTTCAAAGTTTCATTTTTTTAATGGAATCCCCTGTATTTTATTGCATATTTCGGATAGACTAAATGTACCTCAAATCAACCGTTTGCTCAATGAAACCGAATACATCGAAATTAATTACGAGTAAATCAAATTGTTTAAGTGATATTTTCAAAAGTCAATAACTACTTTTGAAAATATCACTTAAACAATTTGATTTACTCGTAATTAATTTCGATGTATTCGGTTTCATTTAACGATGCCATTTTGCGAAAACTCTGATACTTAATAATATTTGACATTAGTTTTTAAGTTAGCATTTATAGATATATAAAATGAGATTATATCAAGTCTGGAAATTACAAAATTTTCTTTTAACATTTCAAAATCAAAACTTCATAATTCGGAAATTGTTGAATTTAGGTACATAATCATAATACACATAATGTACATGTTTATTTGCTTAAAAACTAAATGCAATAAATTAGTTTTGCTTCTATAATGGAAAATTGTAGTTTAATTAAGATAGCATAATTCGCCATTAATTTCAATATTTGTTGGCACAAATTATTTAATTATCTAAATAAATAAATTAATAAATATTACATTGCTTTAGTTGATGAGAATTTATTTAGTTGCGACCACTTTAAAATGTATACCGTACGATCGAAAAGAAAAGGTGTTGGGTTACCTTTTAAATGACGATCAATGCCATTTTATAATACAAAAGTATATGATAAATGTCATCTATCGTCAGCTAGCTATGACGCCGTTTTTGTATCGATGGAATAGACACAATAGATTTTTTTTTCAAACGACACAAAAGTATTAATTTTTGCGACGTCATTGACAATATAAAAAGGCAATTTTAAGGCCTAGGCATAAAAGTACATTTACGCCTAAGCATAAAAGTACGCTAAAATATTTTATTAAACATAAAGTGTAAAATTCAACGAGCGCAACCATAGTTTCTCCATATATAATTACGTACAAGGTATTACTTTGAAATATTTATATTGTATTTGGAACGTTTAAAATTGCTTAAAAAATTATTTGTGGCGTTTGAAAAAAATAGTATGTTCTATTCGGAGCAAAAATGACTTTTTGTGTCAAACGTACAGCCCCGGTAAAAAAGTATTATTTTTACTCCTAATAAAAGAATATACTATTATTATCAAGGTAAAAATATTAATTACTAATAGTCAAGGTATGTGAATTTTTCGTTAAATTACTTCTTTTCAGCATAGGCTGTTTAAATATTCAAATATTTGTTTAATTAATTTATTTAAATGATTCATTACTATGTGTTGTTGAGTAGACGAAAACGGTATAATTAACATCATTAACATGTAAAAAAGATAATTTATACATGCTAATTATACCGTTATATTATTTTTTTAAATAATTTTAAAATTCAAAACTTTAAGACAGAAATAAGGAAGTTTTTGGTAATTCTAATTGATAATATTTTTTGAAATATAAATTGAAAACAGTAACTAAAATAAGAAGATATACAATATATTTCTATAGCTATAATTTAATAAATATGGCGATATTATTGTATAAGACCTAACTAGAAATCAAAATATTTAAGTTAGTTAATTTAAAAGTATTAAAATTTCCTAAATTTCTCATTACAGTCAAATAACTAGCTAGACAACATGTTTATTTTTTTTTCAGTAATGACAGTATTATATTAACTATTTCCATTCTAAATATCTTGAGAACAGTTGCCCGTAGGGATTTTTACCAAGAGACATTTTTAACGTAAAAAATAACAGAAATATATTTATATAATATATATTTTTTTCACTCAGTACTTTTATACACGTACGGACGAGAAGTTATTACACTTCAAAACAGTTAAAAGACATGTAGGTGGCGCCCCCTATAAATAGGAGTCATATTGACATCAAAATCAAATTTCTCATATCAAAAAACACCCATATGCCAACTTTCATCCAATATCGTGGTTAGTTTAGAAATTATTTGAAAAAATCGAAATAAAAATGTAACTTCTACACACTGTATCTCCGAAACGAAGCAGTTTAGGACATACATTTATACAAACTTTTTTGCTTATCTTTATCTGTAGAATGCTGTGAAAGTCTTCCGACCACAGCATATTCGGACCATGATATATGTATATATTCGGTATATGACGAATACATTATAGAGAGTTTCTTATGAAATTATTAGAAATATATTAGTCATTATGAAGAGAGAATATGTTACAGGACATGTCCAAAATTTACGCATTACTCACCTGAACATAAGACAAGGTATGCCATCTCTGTGACTAATAACGGCATTCCTTGAAAATAGAAGAGTCTGTGTACGTTTCTTCGGCCTTGAGAGCTTTGCAAATACCACACCTACCATGAAGGCTTGGATCATGACACCTAAAAAAGCAACGCTATGAAGCTAATAATTATAGAAAATAATTTATAAGTAATGTGGTAATGTCAATAAAATGTATTCAAATAGATTGATGGCATCACTGTAATTTATTTCTATTCATAATTTTTAATTCGGTATATCGGGTGGTGCATCGTCGTCGGAAACATAGGAAATCCCATGCAAATTTTGAATTGCCCAGATATTGGCTCGCCTATTGATTTTATAGCAAAGTCGTAAATAATTTTTTTAAGGTATAAATTTGTGGTAAACATACATGCCAAATTTGAACAATTTTGGACAAGCATCTTTTGAGTAATTTGAGAAAAACTGAATCGATTTTTAAATTAAAACTGAAAAGGTAACAATCAAACACCAGTCAAAAACTGACAATACCAAAATTTGTTCAAATTTGGTATATGAATTTACCATACATAAACCTTTAAAAAATCTATTTACTTCACTGTAAAATCAATAGAGGAGCCAATATTTGAACAGTTCAAAATTTGCATAGGATTTCCTATGTTTCCAACGCCGATGCACGCATACCAAAATTGTTCAAATTTGGTATGTGTATTTACCATACATAAACCTTTAAAAAATCTATTTACTTCACTGTAAAATCAATAGAGGAGCCAATATTTGAACAGTTCAAAATTTGCATGGGATTTCCTATGTTTCCAACGCCGATGCACGCATACCAAAATTGTTCAAATTTGGTATGTGTATTTACCATACATAAACCTTTAAAAAATCTATTTACTTCACTGTAAAATCAATAGAGGAGCCAATATTTGAAAAGTTCAAAATTTGCATGGGATTTCCTATGTTTCCAACGCCGATGCACGCATACCAAAATTGTTCAAATTTGGTATGTGTATTTACCATACATAAACCTTTAAAAAATCTATTTACTTCACTGCAAAATCAATAGAGGAGCCAATATTTGAACAGTTCAAAATTTGCATGGGATTTCCTATGTTTCCAACGCCGATGCACGCATACCAAAATTGTTCAAATTTGGTATGTGTATTTACCATACATAAACCTTTAAAAATCTATTTACTTCACTGTAAAATCAATAGAGGAGCCAATATTTGAACAGTTCAAAATTTGCATGGGATTTCCTATGTTTCCAACGCCGATGCACGCATACCAAAATTGTTCAAATTTGGTATGTGTATTTACCATACATAAACCTTTAAAAAATCTATTTACTTCACTGTAAAATCAATAGAGGAGCCAATATTTGAACAGTTCAAAATTTGCATGGGATTTCCTATGTTTCCAACGCCGATGCACGCATACCAAAATTGTTCAAATTTGGTATGTGTATTTACCATACATAAACCTTTAAAAAATCTATTTACTTCACTGTAAAATCAATAGAGGAGCCAATATTTGAACAGTTCAAAATTTGCATGGGATTTCCTATGTTTCCAACGCCGATGCACGCATACCAAAATTGTTCAAATTTGGTATGTGTATTTACCATACATAAACCTTTAAAAATTCTATTTACTTGACTGTAAAATCAATAGAGCAGCCAATATTTGAACAGTTCAAAATTTGCATGGGATTTCCTATGTTTCCAACGCCGATGCACGCATACCAAAATTGTTCAAATTTGGTATGTGTATTTACCATACATAAACCTTTAAAAAATCTATTTACTTCATTGTAAAATCAATAGAGGAGCCAATATTTGAACAGTTCAAAATTTGCATGGGATTTCCTGTTTCCAACGACGATGCACCACCCGGTATATTCTTAATGTGAGATTACTCATTACGTACTCTAAGTAAACTGAGTATCATTTTAATATAAGATTGCACTAACATAATTCTTATAAAGAAGTCAATTTACTACTAACCATGGGTGTCGCCAGGTTTACTATTAAGTAGGTGCATCAGCTGTATATGTGCTTGCTTAGAGTTAATAGGAAAATAGTAAAAGACACTAACAAATGCTTTGAATTTTTAAAAAATAATAAATATAAAACTTTTATATTATTTTTTTATATATTTAAAGCTTTTTCAAAAATTAAATATCGTTAATTCTTGTTTTGCTAAAATAACTACTTTGCGAAAATCATTAATCAAAATTAGTTCATTGGATACACACACAAAATCAAGAATCAAAAATAAGCAAAAGGTGAAAATTACCCCAACTCTGTATAAATTTTAATAGACATATAATCCAAGTCAACCGACGACCAATTTTTGTTTTTCGTAAAATGATCCGTCTAGTATTTACTACCTTTTTGTCTCTTGTAGAAAACACATCACCGCACATACTTTTTCAAGAAAAAAAAATGTTTTTCCGAAGCAGAATCAAATAACGTTGGTTAGGTTAGGTTAGGCAAATCTAGTTGGCAAAAATATAGAATTTTACGTTAGTATTACAAATGATATTTGACAATAAGTCTCATACATTTTTAACGAACGAGATTATTTTTGATTGATCCCTCTAGCGGACAAACGAAGGACTTTTGTATAGAGATAAATTATTGTGCTTAATTAACTTATTTTGACTAGTAGAAAGGAGGGCATCACAATTAATGGGCAGGTCTTAAATAAGATGCGATTTGCGGTCGATACCGTCCTTATAGCAGACAACGTGGAGGGTCTGCAAACACTTCTACAAAGCCTAAACAACACGTGTAGAGTCTATGGCCTGAAAATGAACCCTAAGAAAACTAAATTTATGATAATCACTAAAAGAGAAGATGTCCAAACCAATGTTCTAATAGATGACACACCTATGAAGAGAGTACAAAAATATAAATATCTAGGCAGTTGGTTGACCGAAAACTTGGATCAATAAGCAGAAATAAAAGCTCGAATAGAAATAGCCAGAGCATCCTTTGTAAAACTCAAAAAATATCTGTGCAGTGGAGACATCAACTTAAAGCTTAGATTAAGAATGCTAAAGGGTTACATATTTGCAACTCTACTCTATGGTCTACACTTAAAAAGACTGAAATTGAGAAGCTTGAGGCATCCGAAAGATCGAAAGATGGTGTTATCGGCGTATGCTGAGGATTGCATGGACTGACAAGGTTGCAAATGTAGAACTGCGACGCAGAGTTCAGAAGGATGAAAAAGTGATTAACACCCTTAAAAAGAGAAAACTTGAGTACTTTGAACACATAATGAGAGGACCTAAATATGCCCTGCTGCAGAACATAATAGAAGGAAAGATAAAGGGCAGAAGGAGCCAAGGAAGAAGAAGAACATCATGGCTCAAGAATTTGAGAGAATGGTTTGGAATGACTTCAAACCAGTTATTCAGAGCAGCCGTTAACAAAGTTAGAATTGCCATGTTGATTTCCAACCTCCATTAGGAGATGGAACCCGAAGAAGAAGAAGAACATATTTTGATTAAAAACATACGTAGTTGTTGTATGTTCACGGAATATTGGAACTACCTATATTTTCTATAGGTCTGTTTTGGAAAAAAACTTGAATTGTTTTTCAAAAAATGTAATAAATACTAGATGGACCATTTTACGAAAAAAAATCAGTCAGGAGGTGGATTTGGAAACCATTTCTACTAAAATCTATGTAAGGTTGGGGGTAGTTTTGACCCCTTCCGTACTTTTTCTGTTTTTACGAAAGTCAAATGTTAAAGCGCTTAGCAAAACATAGACACCCCGAATCTCATTCAAATCGGAATATAGGTACTTAAACTCAAAATATCATGTGTTTATTTTTTTAAAGTTTAATGACCTCTGGCGGACAAACGAAGTACTTTTGGATAGAGGTAAATTATGTCCAATGAACATATTTTGATTTCAAAAAAACGTAGTACTCCCATATCGTCGGAAAATTGGAAAATTCAACCTCTATATCATAAAGTACAGGCGGGCTTACAATTTCGAAATAGTTAAGAAATCTCTATAAAAATAATATTAATAATCCGCATTATTATCTTACAAGAAATTTAGAGTTCTAATTGTCAAAATATATTTTTCAATTAGACGATGTCTTTTTCAAATTTATTCTATTTTACCTGCTATAGCCTGTACGCACATTACGAATATAGCTTCTGGACACTCCTCCGTAGCTGATCGAGTCCCGAAACCTATCGTATGCTGAGTTTCTAAACTGAACAAAAATGCTGAAGTAAAGCCGTGCACACCTACTATACAGGGTGGAGCTGGCGGTTCTGTATTATTCTGCAAAATCCAGAAACCAGAAATGTAAGAATGTAATTTGATTTTTCAATATTAGTTTTAAGTACAACATAATCAAAACGTTTTATGATCATTCGTGCTTTGTATCATGGCATATTTCTCATAGTAAAGTTCATTAGAAATGTCAAGCCATAGTCAAAGTGTACTTAATCATAAAACGTTTTAATATTGTACGGTACTTACAAAATTTTGTTCTTCAATGTTTAAATCACCATGTGTGAATACTATAAGCCACCAGATTAGGGCAAAAAGCAGCCAGGAAAGGAGAAAATTCATGGCGAATACTAAAAGGGTCCATCTCCACTGGGCATCGACTAGAGTTGTGAAAATATCCTAAAATAAGAAAAGATGTTCCATATACTAAGTCTGTCATGCTGATTTATGAACTTGGGATAAGAGTTAAGATATTTTTAAGTAGATTAATGTTTTACCCTAATGAATATTAAGTTCTATGAAAAAATTAAAATAAATAAATTCTTAGTGGATTGAAATTCTTGGAATTCTTTCTTCTTATAGAAGTTTTCAAATGGAGGTATTGATGTTATTTAATAAAATTTCAATTATATTATTTGTATAATTTATTTTTAAACGTATGGGAAATAATGATAAGTAAATAGCTCACTTCTCAAGCCTTCTATGACTTGGGGAATTCCGTTCAAAATCCCATTAGTATTTTTATAATATTTGTTTAAAACTTTACGATTTTACTCTGTGTACATGATTAGTTTAATGGAATTAAATTGTACAGGGTGAATCAACGATAGAGTAATGTCCATTATCTCATTTGTCTCGAGGTTTATATAAAAATATTAAATATAAAAGTTTTAGGAACGGTTAAGATACCCATTTTAAAATTAGCATAGAGTAAATTTTTTAAAAGGTACACTCTATATATTATCACTTTTTCTGATAGATTTTACAAAACTCTTCAACTTTTATTAAGTATGTCATATGCCTATTTTTAATAGTTTGCGATTTATTCCATTTTTTTCTATTTTGACCCATATTTTTAATACAATTACCCTATAAAATCATAGTTGCCATGACAAAGAGGAATAATTATCAAAATTTCTTGTATGTTAAGCAAGTTAAGAACAAAATTTGAATTTTAGTTTAATTTGTTGTAATAAGTATAAATTGTAGAGATAATAGTTACAAATTTTCCTGACATTAATTAGTCAATGTGACTGAATACATATATACACGAACAAGCCAAAAATATATATTTTTTGGTTCAGTACTATATATTATATAGTACTTTGCTAAGTAGTATAAGAATAGATGTAGATTATCTAGAAAACATCTTCAGTGTGTAATCGGCCGGTTTCGCGGCAGTAGTAATATTGGCTTTACCAAATGAATTATAAACCAGAATTACTACGAGAAAAAAAACTTTACTGTATGTCGAAGAAAATTCCTATATCAGTAGTCTTCAACAATTAAGTAATCTAGTATTACCCTAATCTGGGGCTATTCGCCCTGACGGAAAATCCAAGTGTCATCTTTCATAATATAGAAATACACCAAGAAATTCACGACTGCGATTTTAGTTTATTTGAGTAAAGTTAATTAATTTCAACTAATACCAGCAATTGTAACTAATTATTAAGCTACTTGTTAAAGATAAGTAATAAATAGTTTGTTTTGTCACGGCAACTATGATTTTATAGGGTAATTGTATTAAAAATATGGGTAAAAATAGAAAAAATTGGAATAAATCGCAAACTATTAAAAATAAGTCTATGACATACTTAATAAAAGTAGAAGAGTTTTATAAAATCTATCAGAAAAAATGATAATATATAGGGTGTCCCGTTTAAAAAAATTGAGATTTTTTAATTTTAAGTAGTTGAAATTCATAAAGACATTTTGAACACCCTGTATCATTAAACTAAAATATCTTTATATATATCTTCTTGTTCATCTCTAGAAAACTCTCCTATTAAATTTTGGTACTCCAACTTCAGAAACAATGGCACCACTGACAATTTTTTACCACACTGCAATTTAACATTTGTTTAAACATTAAAATATTACAAAAACTATTAATTTTAGGTATATAACATTATATATAAAAAAGTTATGGAATTTTAGGCAGAATCTAAAAATAAAATAAAAAATAGGGTTTGCATTAAAAAAAACATATGTTATATCCGCCACACTTTTTTGAAGCACCTTGTATACTCTATAATAATTTTAAAATATGTATCTTGGCCTTCTCTACAACCTTTATATGTAATTTTTTTTTTTGTAAACCTCGAAACAAATGAGAAAATGGACTTTACTCTATCGTTGACTCACCCTGTACAGAAGGATATTAGGTATGACACATTATGAGATTATGTAACAATCTGGTTTATTTTTTTATTTTTTTTTCTTAATTTATAAGAAGCAACTCAATAACTTTATCAAGATTTTATTGCAATTTTTTTTATAATTATACCGGGTGCGTCTCAAAAGTGGAACACCTCTATAACTTTTTTAATTTTTGCGGTTTTTTTAATATTAATACGTAATTTCGTATGTTAGTATGTGACATAAAATAGGATTGATTGACGTATATTAAATTGTTTTTGGTCACTTCACCGAAAATGGCTACAACTTTTTATTTTTAAATGGCTCCCCCGGTATATTTGTACTTTTTTCGATAGAAAATAACACTCTGAATAGAATGATTAGTTTTCTAAGAAAAGAAGTCGAAGAAGAATTAAGAATAAATTTCTAAAGCATTAAACGATTAAACAATTAAAGTAAAAGTAGTTTAAATAAAACACACTACTTTTACAATATGCAGGGTGAATCTTGAATAAGTGCAAATATTTTCAGAGCTGGTAGATCTCTATAAAAGACACACTTTTTCTCTTTACCGTTTTTTCAAATAAGTCCAAAATATAACTCAGTTATTTTACTTTAAAAATTTCCGAAAAAATGATTTTTTTTTCTTGTAACTTTAATCTACTACCTATATGTTGCTATATTATTAAGAAATTTACGCCCCCTACAAATAGGAGTCATATTGACATCAACATCAATTTTCTCATGTCAAAAAATCCAGATACTAATTTTCATCCAAATATATACGTTACTTCAGAAATTATTTGGAAAAAATCGAAATAAAAATGAAACTTCTACACCCTGCATCTCCGAAACTAAGCATTTTAGGACATGCAATTATACGAACTTTTTTACTTATTTTTATCGGCAGAATATGCTGCCGAAGTTTCCGGAATATAGTTCGGACCACCCTTGTATAATATTGTTTCCTTTTTGAAAAGCCGATTTTGCGCCTTTTACAAAGAGTTGTAGTTTTAAACGCGTAATCCACAAAATAGTAACTTTATCTAGCTATAAGATTATGTTGAACATTATGTTCAACATAATCAGCAAGAACTAAATACAGTCATTAAAATATACTACAATATAAAATTATAAGTTACATTTAATATTTTCCATTAATAAAATTTGCTTTATGTTGGTGAAAAAAGTGCGTGTGAATAACTTAACTGGCTCATTAACAATTTTGGCTTTTACCCAGATATTTTACTATAATTAAAATAACATTTTAGTTGTGTAAATTTGGTTTAACACGTTCCTCACCACTATAAATACCTCCTTAACGTAGAAATTAAATTAACGTTAAGTTTTAAAATACGAAAATATTATGATTGGCTGTCGCGAAAATTTATTTATTCATTTTAGTTGATTGATCGTCATTGATTATCCAGCTAGGATTTTTTGACAGTTTTCTAACATATTTTTCGTATTTTTTTTATTAATAAAGAACATATTAACTAATACATACTTGCAGATATCTCCGTCTTCTTTTTGCTACATTCCCTTGAACTACGTTACAATCTCCATGTTTGAAGACCACTCGTTTTCTGATTCTTCTTGCATTAAATCTACTTTGCCTGTATCTGAAACAAATATTTCAAAATCAATATATCATATTATATAATTCTATATTTTTTGTTGTCATCCTATACTGGGTGCGTCTCAAAAGTGGCTCACCCCTATAACTTTATTTTATTTTTTTATATAATAAAACGAAATTTGGTTTGTTAGTATATGACATAAATTAGGATTGATTGAAGTATTCAATTTTTTCGGTCACTTACTGTTTTACCGGAAATGACAACAACTTTTGATTTTTAATCCACACCCTTGGTATTTTTTCACTTAATAAAATGAATAATATATAGCAAATATAAACTTTTGACATTTTGAATTAAAAAAAATAGCATTTTAAATTTTAATTTAGAGTGCCATAAATGTAAGCAGGAAAAAGGAAATTCTAAAAGGATTGAATTATTTTATAACAGTCGAATAGCGTTGTCTTAAGGACTGCTTAATTTTATTAAGCGTTTGGTTTTTTTGGACCATTCTGTTTTTTAATAAAAGTTGTCATATTAAACTATTTTCTAGTGGTTTTTACAACGTATCCTATAACGCATTAAACAATCATTTCTTTTAGTATGATATAACACTTAATAAGACAATGCTATATGATAACAAACATATTATTTTATTAGACACTTATACCTACCAGTTCTATAATATTCATATAACTAGTACTCACAATATCATATATTAGTTACTTTAACTTGTCTTATTAAAGTTGTATTACGTTGTATGATGTTTTATTGCGTTAAACTACGGTGCTGTATACAACACCAGTTATATAGCCTTATATGATAAAATTGTGATTAACAAAATAAATTCGCTGTCATATCTGCATTATAAAACTGGTAATGTATAATATAATCTCATTTTAAATTAATGGTATACCGAAAGTTAGTATTTATTTTGTTATTGTTTGTAGTTTGCTAGTTATTTATTTTGTTATTGTTGTTGTTGCAAAAGTAATATCTACGTACGAGTATAATCAATCACAGCTATTATGAATTCTGGACAAAGTTGAAAAAAAGTTAACAAACGCAGTGGTAGTTATAAAGAGCATGTAAGAAAAAACTCCTCGAAATTACGGCAAATAATCCCGAGAATTCCCTGGGTTCTCAAAAGCCAAAATCTCTCAGGTTGTCTGGCTTCTTCAAAGCATTGTTGGCACGTTGATGTAAAAGTTTTACTGTAGTAATGTTTGTATTGTTTTATTGTTGTTTTTCCAAGTCCGGTTGCCCAAGGGCGAGGTTGCCGTTCACTCGTCGGGCACGCATGAAATGCATTGCGTGCATGAATCCATGAAAATCTGATCATGAGATTTGGCAACATCTATTTGTCACAAATCTCAATATGTCCAAAATAGTTCTATAGTGCATGGAAATTCTGCGTAATGATAGATATTTATCCTATACCGTTTTATTTTACAACAAAGACTTATTTAAGGGATTCATTTATAATAAAATGGTTGCATTATAATTCGCCATATTTAAGGCAGAATTTTTGTATGGCCTATGGCCGCCATTATATGAAACAAAATTAAAAACATCAAAATTAATTGTAAAATGTTATTTTCGAGAACTATTTTGTGATAAGATTCCCACATACAGTAATAAAGTGTTAAATTAAAAACAAGAATTTTTGAAAATTTTATTTTATTTTATTATTTAAATTTATATGCAAACCTTAATCGAAATTAAAGCGCTTTATTTTTTTGCCAAATACATACCTATAATCTACCAGTAAAATTTTCGGCGCAACAAAAATTGTCCCTACTTTTCAAACCCTATTAATGATTTTTTATATTACATATTTGTTGTACCTTCTAGCTCTACCGGCATGCATTGTCGAGTAAAGTCTCCTTTTTAGCAATCCACATCCTCTAGATTCATTTTACGACACGCTTAAAATATAATTTGCTCCTAATATTCTTCGGTAAAAAATAAAATACTCTTGTACCTCGCTAAATAATCAAATGTTTTTATTGTTCTGTTTCTTAGATGTGACCACGTAATACACAATAAAACTAGTTTTCTAATAGTCATATGACGCTGTGTAAAATAGTTGCATAAGAGTTGTATACCCTTTTTATAGAATTTCTATACTACTAAACGGTTGTATAAAAATGGGCCTTTTTTGGTTGTAAAGCTATCATATTACCGTCATATAGCACGTTATATGAATTGAGGTATCCTATAAAAATTATCACATAGCTGTTTATACAGCCTTTATAAAATATAATTTGATACTTGGGGTAACGACAATTTGACTTGAAATACCAAGTGTGTGGTACCAAATTATTCGTAAAAAAATGCTTTTTCAAAATATGCTAATGAGATTCCTTCCATGTTAGAAAATTGAGATATGATTAAAAATACGATTTGGGCATCTTTTAACTGGCCAGGACAAGAAACGAAAAATATTAAATGATCAAATCTATTTTTCCTGATTAAAAATTAGCATTTTTAACATAGCCATGGCACTCTAGATTGAAATTTAAAATACGATTTTTTTAAACGAGAATGTCCAAAGTTGACATTTAATATGTCATTCTATTCAGAGAGTGTCATTTTCTATCAAATAAAGTAAAAAAATACCGAGGATGCTATTTAAAAATCAAAAGTTGTAGTCATTTCCGGTGAAACAGGAAGTGACCGAAAACAATTGAATACATCAATCATTTATGTCATATACACTAACATACCAAATCTCAGTTATAGAGGTGAGCCACTTTGAGACGCACCCGGTATATATTTTTAATCATCTTATATTATTCTATACAATCAGGTATACTTAAGTATTTTGATCAAGTTATGAGGAGGGATACTAATTGTACGGAAACAGTCACCATACAGGGCGAGGTTCTAGGAAAAAGACCAAGAGGTCGCTGGCCCTCATGGATAAACTATCAATGCTCACCCGCAAACCACTGCACATGCTGCTACATGAAGAAAATTCATAAGAAAGGGAACTATGGTAACAAACTACACATCACTTGACAACTACATTCCTCTTGTAAGAATAAAGACAGAGAGAAAGAGATATTTTTTGGCGTCAGCTTGAATTCTTTCTGGTGCCTAAAGTATTACACAAATTGTCTCCATACTTTGTTTACATGTATCGACTATTATTAATAAATGATATGTATTACATCAATAACAATAATTTTCTCAGTATTACGGCAATTTTAACATTATTCAAAATTGGCCAGCAAGTTATTAATAATCTAATTCACTTCAACTTCAAAACATTTTAGTTTTTCTTAGAGTGTCTATAATTAATAAAATAATAAAAAAAATAAATTAAACGAAGCCAATATGTACCAGTCTATGAGGTTCAAAAGGTTATCGATATAAAAAGAATCATTCACTATATGACTCAAATAAAACTTGTACAAATAAATGTATCTAGTAAAGTCTAACGCCTAAAGTGACAAAAAAAAACCGACAACCGTATCAGTGCATAGTGAGTATGGAACTTTATTAGTCTTAGTATTTTTTTTCTTAATGCTGTATACCTAATATTTTATATAAAACATTTGTATGGATTGTATAACAAAAATTACCTTTCGTCCAATATAAATCTTTGATTTGGTTCATCATCTCTGTAAGATTTTGTTTTCAAATCACAGTTACACACAAGCTTTCGTTCTGGATATACCACATACATCTTAATAAATAAATTATATAGTACACAATATTTAAAAGCATTCAAAAGAACTGACGACTTGACATCAAAATATTGTAGATATATAGTTGCGGCTAATCAATAGATAAGAAGCGTGTATATTTTTCGGAAAGCCAAGAGCAGCGATACGCGCAGGAAATGCTGCAAATCTTTTTGAGATACTTTTTTTCGGAATATTTGAATAGGGTTTATTCGTACTTGTTTTTGTTTGAGCAATTTTCAAAACGGTATTAAAAAGCTAAGAGTTAAACGTTGAATGAATTGAAGAAGGATTTGTGGATTATATGGGTTTTATTTTTTATTCGAGTTGCAACTAGATTCATCTAGATTGAGAAGATCGCATATTGAGAAAACCGCATATTAATAAAAATATTTATGATACAAATTATAATTATCATGACTATTTTATTCATCACAAACCAGAATGAGTAATATTAATTATGTGTAATTTACTATTTTTTAGTTATGTAAATATGTTGGGACTAATACATAGCTCGGGATCTCTACTACCAGAAATCAACAGAAGAATTAAATTAGCATGGAGTACTTATGGAAGAAAGTCAATCATATTTAAATCTAGAATGCCACTTTATCTAAAGAAGGAAACATTCGACCAATGTGTAATACCAGTCATGACCTATGCATGCGAAACCTGGATACTTAAAATGGACATCATAAGGAAAGCATCATCATGCAGGTCGCACAACGCTCAATGGAACGAAATATGCTGGGAATAACCAAGTAAAAGAATAGAGTCGATACAACAAAAGATCCAAATAATAGATGTCTTAGAGTCAAATCCCTCAAGAAGCAATGGGCAGGCACCTAGCAAGAAGGACGGGCGACAGATGGACCACAAAAATTACAGCATGGTAACCACAAGAAATTAAGAGACTTAGAAGACCGAACTTGAGATAGGACCATGACATTAGGAAATTAGGGATTACTTTGGACCGCGTAGCCAACAATAGACAACAATGGGCCCAACTACAAAGAGAGCATCTAAATATGTGGGGGAGGATACACCATAATTGAAAACGGTTGAATAAGAATAAGGTGAAAGTTATGATGATGATGATAATGATACAAAGTATTATAATTATCACGACTATTTTATTCATCACCAGACGGTATGGATAATATTATTTATATGTAATTTATTCTTTTTTATCGTTAGAAAATAATATCATTATTTAAAACGAAATGAAAGAAGAGAAATGTGGAGATATAAATAATAATAGATAGAGAAATAATAAATTATTATATAATAAAAAACAGACTGTGAATGAAACAGGCAATAGATATCCAACAAAGCGCGTTCAATGTTTTAGTG